CCCACAGCTCTGCTCTCAGCACAGGCTATGTACAGTACATTGATGATGTCACTAATTCTTTTTTAGAATAAATTCTGGGTTTGCAAAGGCATTTGATGCACACCAGGTGAATTTACAGTGCCTTGAAAAAGTATTCATACCCCTTGACATTTTCCAAATCTTGTCTTGCCACAAATTCTCCATTGGATTTAGGTCTGGACTGTGACTGGGCCATTCGAACACATGAAGATGCTTTGATCTAAACCATTCCCTTGTAGCTCTGGCTGGATGATTCGGGTCGTTGTCCTGCTGGAAGGTGAACCTCCGCCCCAGTCGCAATTCTTTTGCAGACTCTAACAGGTTTTCTTCTAAGATTGCCCTGTATTTAGTTCCATCCATCTTCCCATCAACTCTGACCAGCTTCCCAGTCCCTGCTGAAGATAAGCATCCCCACAACAATGCTGCCACCACCATGTTTCACAGTGGGGATGGTGTGTTCAGGGTGATGTGCGGTGTTAGTTTTCCACCACACAAAGCATTTTGCTTTTAGGCCAAAAAGTTCCATTTTGGTCCCTTCTGGCCAGAGCACGTTCTTCCACATTTGCTGTGTCCCCCACATGGCTTCTTGTAAACTACAAACAGGATTTCTTATGGCTTTCTTCGAACAATGGCTTTCTTCTTGTCACTCTTCCATAAAGGTCGGATTTGTGGAGTGCACGACTAATAGTTGTCCTGAGGACAGATTCTCCCCCTGAGCTGTGGATCTCTGCAGCTCCTCCAGAGTTCCCATGGGCCTCTTGGCTGCTTCTCTGATGAATGCTCTCCTTGCCCGGCCGGTCAGTTTAGGTGGACGGCCATGTCTTGGAAGGTTTGCAGTTGTGCCATACTCTTTCCATTTTCAGATGATGGATTGAACAGTGCTACGTGAGATGGTCAAAGCTCAGGATATTTTTTTATAACCTAGCCCTGCTTTAAACGTCTCCACAACTTTATCCCTGACCTGTCTGTTGTGTTCCTTGGCCTTCATGATGCTGTTTGTTCACTAATGTTCTCTAACAAACCTCTGAGGGCTTCACAGAACAGCTGGATTTATACTGAGATCCCCTGACACACAGGGGACTCTTTTTTTACTAATTAGATGACTTCTGAAGGCAATTGGTTCCACTAGATTTTAGTTAGGGGTATCAGAGTAAAGGGGGCTGAATACAACTGCACACCACACTTTTCAGATATTTACTTGTAAAAAATTTGACAACTATTTCTCATTTTCCTTGAACTTCACAATTATGCGCCACTTTGTGTTGGTCTATCAGAACAAACCCCAATAAAATACATTGACTTTTTCTTGGTTGTAACATGGCAAAATGTGGAAAATTTCAAGGGGTATGAATACTTTTTCAAGGCACCGTGTATCCTTTGTGGCTATTTAGGGATATATTTTAATGAAAGTTTTTATTGCCCAGAGTTCAGCTTTAAAAAAAAAAAGCTCCACTAAGAGTTTTGTTGGAATGGATAAATTAGAGTAAAAGAGGCTAAAGTACTTGTTCTGGAGAAAATTCTGCTCCATGCTTCCTTCGGTACTGCTCCGAAGACCTGCAACTTGGCTGTATGGAGAGACAATGGGGTGGATTTACTAAGGGCAACAAAGTCTGTGCACTTTGCAAGTGCAGTTGTGTAACGGAACTGGACCCCGACTGCACTGGGGTATTTCCGTTAGACTCCCGCTTCCCTGTCCGAATACAGATCCACGGACACCACCGCTGACCACACAGGACTACAAGACACCAGTCTGTATAAACATGGAACTCTTTATTTGAAACTCAAACTGGCTTTTTATACACTCAGGAGACAAATCCCCCCTCCCTGCATAATGACACAGGGTGGGGCAATCTATACTTAGCAACAAGAGACACACACCAACAGAAAGTCCCATCAGGAGGGCTGCTTGAAACACCCCCCCACCAAGCCAATACGCATAAACACATACATCCCATAATAGTTTGCTCCCAAGCAGGACACACATTAGAACAATGGGACAACCAGGTGGCATTAAACAATCAACAACCCCCCACCCCACCTATACATGTCTACTCAATATTAGGACATTTCACCCTGTACCCCTAACAGGCACAGGGTGACTTACACATAAGAGGGATATGGGGAGCTGAGACAAGGGTCTCCCCACCTCTCCAAAGGCGGCTGTGTTCCATGGGCCCCCCACCCAAACTCAAACTGGCTTTTTATACACTCAGGAGACAAATCCCCCCTCCCTGCATAATGACACAGAGTGGGGCAATCTATACTTAGCAGCAAGAGACACACACCAACAGAAAGTCCCATCAGGAGGGCTGCTTGAAACACCCCCCACTAAGTTAATACACATAAACACATACATCCCATAATAGTTTGCTCCCAAGCAGGACACACAATAGAACAATGGGACAACCAGGTGGCATTAAACAATCACCAACCCCCCTCCCCACCTATGCATGTCTACTCAGTATTAGGACATTTCACCCTGTACCCCTAACAGGCACAGGGTGACTTACACATAAGAGGGATATGGGAAGCTGGGACAGGGGTCTCCCCACCTCTCCAAAGGGGGCTGTGTTCCATGGGCCCCCCATCCAAAGTGACTCCCGTCACAAGTTGCATTTATTTTCGTTAGTAGATGTGAATGTGGTAAAGCTTCACTTTGTAAAAAAAAAAAAAAAAAAAGGAAAATAGAAAAAAAACATATTTTTGCTTGCATATGGTTGGTTGACGGAAATCAGCAGAATTTGACCACATTTACTAAGCGCTGGGGAAAATGAGTGCAACTGCAGAGTTCACAGTCTAATTGCCTTTAGTAAATCAACCCCAGTGTTAAAAAAAAAAAAAATTCTCAAGACAGATTTAAGACAGATTATACAATCAACCATGGGTAGAAGGAAGAAGATATTCGAAGGGGGAATCCCTCCCATAGTGCTAGTGTGCTAGTGAGCCTTCCCTGCTGGCAGAACACACTGATCACTGCTGGAGGCTATAGGCACTAGCAGTGATCACATGACCAAAATCAGACAGAGCTGGTTGTACTGAAGTTGATCGATGGATCAACTTCAGTACAACCAGCCTAAGGAAAAACCTGCGCTACACCCAAAAAAATTAATGACAAATGTGTGAATAAATATAGTGAACTGCTGCTACTTGAACACCAGAAAAATGCAAAACATATGAAAAAGTGAGTGCGCTGTACACTAAACAATCAGATACAGTGACCAAACATAATATATCCACAAAATAATAGTATGACAAAAAGTATAAAAGTGCTATAAAAAGTCCAAATTCATATAGTGAATAAATAAAAAAAAAAGTCCCAAATCCAGTAACACAGTGCTGTGTGCTGAAAGATCTTCCAACAAAAGTGTATAGGTATCCCGTACCTGGTGATGGAGGCCAATGGAGAGAGGGCTTCCCTTGCGGCTAAGTTCCGGACTCCCCTGAGAGTGGGACAGCGGGAGTCAGGCCCAAAGTTGCACAGGTCGCCTGTAGGAGTGCTGGTTGGTGGTCCACTCAGAAACACAGCTGGGGCATGGAGATAGGTCTGCAGACAGGAGGCACCTGTGCGTGGTATGCAAGCCCTTCCGAAATTTGGATGTTCACTGGGTAGTCGGTTCAAGCCAAGGTCAGGTACCAGGTGGGAATCAGAGCGGACGTAGTCAGATGGGATAGCCGAGGTCATTTACAGAGGAGCGAGAGAGAGAGTATCCATAAGCCAAGCAAAGGTCAGATCAGGGGTAAATCAGAGTAGACGGGTCCAGGAGCAAGCCAAGTCAGTAACAGGAAATCACAGGAAACAGCAACAGGGCACTGGGAGCTAGAGATCATCCAGCAACTTGAGGAAGTTATGAGACTCTTTATAAAGGCCTTCTGGCACCAGACTGAGGCTGATGTGTACTTCTGCGGCCATGTAGAGTACTGACAGAAATGCCAGATCTTCCAGAACGTCTGCCGTGGACAGGACCCTGACAATAGGTGTCTACAAGTGCTTGACACAACAGAAAAATCAGCCTCTCACCAGACACATCAATCTCCAATCCTAGAGGACGCCATTTTTGGAGAAACGCGCCGGCGGAGCTTTCTGTGACGTCACTTTGTTCTGGCTGGTGGTTTGACACCGCGGGAATTTTAAATGTTTACGCTGCCTTTATGCACCTTATCTGTGTAAGCGCAATACTTCAATAAATCTTTTGCTGGTTTATCGGGTTGCACTATGAAGACACAGTGCTGTGTGCTGAAAAATCTTCCAACAAAAGTGTATAGGTGTCCACAAGTGCTTGACATGACAGAAAAATCAGCCTTTTTCCAGACACATCGATCTCCAATCAAGAGATCAAACGAGCAGATGGTGTTCAGATCCAACACTGACATCCTAGTTAGCAGTATCAAGGAGATGAATGGACAACTGCAGATTCACCTCGACGGATTCATCACGCCAAACAGCTCTCCACGCCATGTAAGGAAAGGTTTACAACAGAAGAAGAAAACTTCATAGTGCGACCCGATAAACCAGCAAAAGATTTATTAAAGTATTGCACTTACATAGCTAAGGTGCATAAAGGCAGTGTACAAATTTAAAATTCCTGCGGTGTCAAACCACCGGCCGGAACGTGGTGACGTCACAGAAAGCTCCACCCGACTCATTTCTCCAAAAATGGCATCCTCTGGGATTAGAGATCGATGTGTCTGGTAAGGAGGCTGGTTTTTCTGTTGTGTCAAGCACTTGTGGACACCTATACACTTTTGTTGGAAGATCTTTCAGCACACAGCACTGTGTCACTGGATTTGGGACTTTTTTTTTATTTATTTACTATATGAATTTGGACTTTTTATAGCACTTTAGCAATATACTTTTTGTCATAGTATTATTTAGTGGCTATATTGTGTTTGGTCATTGTATCTGATTGTTTAGGGCAGTGTTTCTCAACCTTTTTTCAGTCAAGGCACCCTGTAAAATGATGGACAGTCCCGAGGTGCCCTTTAAAATGATGGACAGTCCCGAGGTGCCCTTTAAAATGGTGGACAGTCCCGAGGCGCCCTTTAAAATATGGACAGTCTTGAGGCACCTTTTAAAATGATGGACAGTCCTGAGGCGCCCTTTAAAATAATGGACAGTCCCGAGGCACCTCTAAAATGATGGACAGTCCCGAGGCACCCTCTAAAATGATGGACAGTCCCGAGGCACCCTCTAAAATGATGGACAGTCCCGTAGCACCCTCTAAAATAATGGACAGTCCCGAGGCACCCTTAAAATGATGGACAGTCTTAAGGCACCTTTTAAAATGATGGACAGTCCCGAGGCCCCTTTAAAATGATGGACAGTCCCGAGGCACCCTCTAAAATGATGGACAGTCCCGAGGCACCCTCTAAAATGATGGACAGTCCCGAGGCACCCTCTAAAATGATGGACAGTCCCGAGGCACCCTCTAAAAAATGGACAGTCCCGAGGCACCCTCTAAAATGATGGACAGTCCCGAGGCACCCTCTAAAATAATGGACAGTCCCGAGGCACCCTTAAAATGATGGACAGTCTTGAGGCACCCTTTAAAATGATGGACAGTCCCGAGCCACCCTTTAAAATGATGGACAGTCCCGAGGCACCCTCTAAAATGATGGACAGTCCCGAGGCACCCTCTAAAATGATGGACAGTTTTGAGGCACCCTCTAAAATGATGGACAGTCCCGAGGCACCCTTTAAAATGATGGACAGTCCTGAGCCACCCTTTAAAATGGACAGTCCCGAGGCACCCTTTAAAATGATGGCCAGTCCCGAGCACCCTTTAAAATGATGGCCAGTCCCGAGGCACCCTTTAAAATGATGGCCAGTCTTGAGGCACCCTTTAAAATGATGGACAGTCTTGAGCCACCCTTTACAATGATGGACAGTGCAGAGGCACCCTTTAAAATGATGGACAGTCCCGAGGCACCCTCTAAAATGATGGACCGTCTTGAGGCACCCTTTAAAATGATGGACAGTCCAGAGACACCCCTTAAAATGGACAGTCTTGAGGCAACCTTTAAAATAATGGACAGTTCCGAGGCACCCTTTAAAATGGACAGTTTTGTGGCACCCCATTCTAAAATAGGGTGCCTCTAGACTGTCCATAATTTAAAAGGGCACCCCATTCTAAAATATGAAAACTATTCTAATAGTTATATATAACACAGCAACATCCACACATGTAGGACACCCAACATTAGAGGGGATTTATTCTTCCAAAGCAAATACACCTTTGCACACTGGTACTGACTAGTATTCCAATGTTTCTCTTCTCCCTCAGTTTTTCTCCATCACTGAACTAATGTGACCCCCAGCACTGATGGAAAGGGGCAGGGGAGGGTCCAACTAGGATGCTGTGCGGGCAGCTGACATCCTCCTTATCAACTGATGATGTCATTGGTTGTTAGGACGCCGGCGGCTAGTAGGTTGTAATGGTGCACAATGAAAACCTGTGGCTTTTTGTAACTAAAAGCAGACTTGTTCCACCCCTGGCTTGTATACAAGTTTTGGGCAATTTTTAAATATTTTGCCAAGGCACCCCTGAAGAAACCTCAGATCACCCTGGTTGAGAAAGGCTGGTATAGCGCACGGCGCACTCACTTTTCATAAGTACAACCAGCCTGCCCATAGATGGTTCGAGTCTCATCCGGTTCCTGCCGAGATTCGATCCTTCTATGACCGGCTTCATACTAGAACAGTATTCACTAACGTCTTCATGTCGTAAAGTTCTTCTGAAATTTTCAGCTACTTTAACTTGAACCTGAATGTCTTACTTGCTTCTGTTCCAGAGATATTGTTGTAGTGAACCATTCAAAGTGCATATTTTAAAGCGAACCTATTAGGATTTGTCTGTTCTATAATCCGATCATCATCTTCCCCCCCAAGGTCGTAGTACTGTAATCGATGCAACTCTCTTAGATATTTCCCCAGGGATGAAATGCTGTATCCGGGAGTCAGCAATGGGATAGGTAGTAGGACTGGAAGTCCCCGGTGCTCCTCTAGGCTCTCGTAGTGACTGTCTCCTGCTGGTTGTACACACAGGTTTGTGGTTCGGTACACGGCGGCATTTACGCAGAAGATAGCCTCCTCTATAGCGCCGCACATCACTACGTTCCTGGTACACGGGAAGCAGGTAAAAAGCCGCTCGTCCTGTCGGCTTTTCCAGGGATGAACGTTGCTTTGCGTTTGACGCTGTCCGTGTCCGCACGTGTGCAATGTAACAGTCGTGAACTAACCTGGCGCACTTACAAAAAAAAAAAAATAACCACCTTATCCCTGTTACTTCATAGCAACAAATATTGCAGATCTGTCGTCTTTCTGTGTCCCCGAGGTCTTTGTTTCTGTTTCAATAGCGTTTATTAAGAAATTTTTGTTTTAAAAATACAACAAGTTCAAAAAACGCCCACACAGGGGCAGAGCAGAATAATAACACATAAACAGAGACATCCTGCTGACTTGTATTAGTCTAATAACGAAATGTCCAATGACATCGAGGAGGGACGGCAAAAGCCGAGCCAAATAGCAGCAGTAATCCAACATAGTATCGGGAAAAAAAAAAGGAAAAAAAACAAGGTGTAGAAGAAAGGAAAAAGAAAATAGAACAAAAAAGGGGAACCGGAAAGAAAACATGGAAGAAGAGAAACTAAAAGAATCACGGATCCGGGGCTAGCACAGGCAGTGACTATAAGTGGTCATAACTAGTAGGAGGCAAGGATGGCAAGGAATAACGTATCCAAGGTTCCCAAACCTTAAGGAATCTCGGATGAGAATCATGAAGAACGCTAGACATCTGTTCATCGAACAACATAGCATTCATCCGGGTCATCACCCCTTGGAAGACAACCGAAGGGGTTCTCCAAGCTTGAGCTATAGCACGTTTGGCCGAAAAAAATAGGTAGGATGCCAATTTCTGCTGAGACCTAGACAGACCCAAAATTGGGCAATGCAGGAGGGCCACACTTGCATCCCTACGGACCGTAATATGAAATAGCGTTTGTAGCAAACCAAAGACCCTAGACCAGAAGCCTATCAATCGCGGGCAGGACCACCAAATATGCAAGATGTCCCCGCGTAGACCGCAGTTCCAAAAGCACCTATTTCCACCAGTCTGATTAAAGTGAGCAGTCCGAGCCGGGACCCAGTACCACCTGAGGTCTTTGCTTCATCGGCTAAATGGGGTTTGAGTAACCTTCTACAGGATCCTTTGGCCTTTAATAAAACTGACATTAACATGGCCGGCAGTTTATTTAGGACACACTTCGTCATTTTTAAAAATAAATTCTACGGGGTTGATTTACGACATCCTCACGCACATTTACGACGTCCTCACGCACATTTACGACGTCCTCACACATTTACGACGTCCTCGCGCACATTTACGACGTCCTCGCGCACATTTACGACGTCCTCACGCACATTTACAACATCCTCACGCACACCAGACATTTTTACAGCAGTTTTTGACGTCTTTTTCTACAACTAGTAAACCCCCCAGCCAGGGGCGGACTGACAACTCACAGGCCCCCCGAGTAATAGGGGATCATGGGGCCCCTGTGTACTCGCCCACACTCAAACCCACACCTAAAAAAGCCTATGAAAGGTACCAGGGGCATGTAATGGGGCCCCCTACTGACCCAGGGCCCTTGGGCAGCGCCCAAATGGTCATTCCGCCCCTGCCCCCAGCATGTTCTCCTATGTGTCCATGCACACACAGACTGGAATCAACATTTTTCGGCTGCAAAAAAAAAACGGGACTAGTGGGTTTCTAGAGGAGTTTTTTAAGCTGCAAAAACGCAATAAAAAATGCCGCAAACCGGCGTTTTTGGACTCTTTTGACCAAAAAAACCTGCTAAAAACCGCAAACGTGGAAAAACGCTTAAAAAAGCTGAAAAACACATTTTTAACATGACGTTACCAGCGCGATCAAAACACCCGGTGTGCACGGAGACTGAAGACAAATAGGCCATGCACTTTGCAAAGTGCAGTTGCTCCAGAGCTTAGTAAATGAAGCGCAGCTTCACTTTGCAAAGAATACCCAAATGCGGCCCGCATGGCTGCATAGGTGTGAACCGGGGGCGAGAGGCTGAGTTAGCTGCCGGTCCAGGTAATGAGATGGATCCTGACATTAAAGTCGGGATCTCCCCAGAGCCTGGACCGGTGAGTGACATCCAGAACTAATGGCACCCGCCCATGGGTCCGCAGCGGCACCACCCGCACAGATGTGAACCTAGGGTCAGTGCACCGCTGAGACCCTAAACCAACCACTCCTGCCTCCTCCACAACTCGGCGCTCCAGTGACTGGCTCTCTGCTCACCGAAGACCCGAGAACTGAGCAATCAGCAGTCTTTGATCGCTCATTTCTCAGTGTAGAGGCAGTGGGGGACAACCGCAGCATCCGATCAATGCAGCATCCACCTGGGTAAGTATATATGTTTGTTTTCTTTTCCCGCACTTCTTTTATACGGCATGTAGTGTCAGTTTGTGGCTTTTAAGAATTTCTTGTATTGAAGGAAGACATCGTTTCTCTCCAATACAAAGCTGCATGTTGGATTTGCATTTTGTTGTTCGTTTTATATTTCGATTGGTCTTTATTGAACAGTCACAATACAAACCAGGTCAGTTGTGAAGGTCAAGTATGAGGCACAAAAGGAAAATAAACATGAGTATAAGTAATGTACAGATCAGGAACATACAATGCCATAATATAGAATAGAATGCTACAATGTGCCGTACAGAATACTATACAAACTCCGGAAGAAACCAATGCAAACATCTCATACTAAACACCAACAACAGAAACCAAGAAAGCCTGACCTGGGGTCACACTACTAATCGCACTGGAACACCACAGCATTCCTGCACAGGTCACATGCCATTCGCTGTGGTGAAGTTTGAACCCGTTCATTTTTTAATAGGCTCAAATGCACTGCATCTCATTGTGTATGCAGCAGTTTTGGGAATGCGCTGGATCGTATGGTTGTGTTTTACCATGTGACCCTGTGCTGGCCAACAACACGGCGTTTGCGAACTGTGTTTGGGTGTCATTAAAGTGATGCTAAAGTCTTTTTTTTTTTCCTTTTTAAAATAACAAACTATTATCATTGTATCATTGTCATCAGTGACACTCCCAGCCAGTGTCTGTTAGCGCCAGATTGCCCACCACATGATTACAGTCCCACTATAAGTCAGGGATCAAAGCCATTACCAGTATAGTGTCTATAGCTGCATAAATTCCAGTATATATACCATAGATTGTAGACACTATACGTTTCACAAAAAACAATTATTATACACTTGCTACAAAACGCTAAAAAAAAAAAAACGCTGAAAAACTCATGTTTTTACTGTGACTTTACACAGCTAATGTTACCAGCGTTATTAAAACGCCCCGTGTGCATGCAGCCTGAAAGTTTTGAAAAAAGCCACAATATTTTCTACTTTCTGGTATAAAACATATCCAATAAAAAAAAAAACTTTTTTTCATAAATTGAGGTCAAAATGTATTCTGCTACATCTCTGGTAAAAAAAAAAATCCCAATAAGTCCTCATGCACTTTCAAAATTTTCAGTTTTTATTTCATATATATAATAAACAATAAAAATCCCAGTGGTGTTCAAATACCATCAAAAGAAATCTTTGTTTTTGTGGGGAAAAAAAACGATGTTCATTTCATTTGGGTACAGTCTTGCATGACCAAGCAATTGCCAGTTTAAAAAAAAAAAAAAATGTTTTTTCTTCATAAATTGAGGTGAAAATGTATTCTGCTACATCTTTGCTAAAAAAAAAAAAATCCCAATAAGTCCTCATGCACTTTCAAAAATTTTTCTTTTTTTTATGTATATATTAAACGATAAAAATCCCAGTGGTGATCAAATACCATCAAAAGAAATCTCTGTTTTTGTGTGGAAAAAAAAAAACGATGTTCATTTCATTTAGGTACAGTCTTGCATGACCGAGCAATTGCCAGTTTAAAAAAAAAAAAATCTTGTTTCTTCATAAATTGAGGGTAAAATGTATTTGCT